GTTTACATGTTATCTAGAGTGTTCGTGACTAACTTACTTTTTTTGCCTACGTTTACTGACACCGATCATATTCAGCGGGTGTTGCCCATTCGTAAATTAATCAGTTATTCTGCGCTCTGGCACATTCAGACGAGAGTGCTCTGAAATCGAAGTAGATAGCCAGAGTGAATTTGCGAACGCAAGAGATATGCTAACTGGATACTGTAACAGTCGTTCAAGTTCTTGCTAGCTAACCAAATGACACCTGCATCTCTAGCTGTGTATAGCCACTGACAACGATATGAGGGGAAAAAGTCTGTCACTCACCCACTTATCCAATGACATGACATCCTCCTAGCAGCTAGCTAGCTATCTAGCTAGTTTGATTGTATTGACATTCCCAGCCTTAGTCACATTCATCCGTTTTTGTACAAAATATTTAGTCATTGAAATTGAAACAGTGCATCCCGAATGGAGGCAGCAAACAATGTACCAGGCCAGCTGTGATTTTACAACCTGATAGCAATATTTTTTGGACTACCAAGAAATGTATTGGGGAATTATATTAATCATGCATTGAACTGCATCCGTCTATTCTGCCAACAATGCCTTAGTGTACGTCATGGAATGTTGAGTCAAATATAACCTATTTTTAAAACCTCTTAAAAGCTGGTTTTGTAGCATAAACTGGGAATTTGATATTTTTTACTGATATTATGATTGTCTGTTTGTTTCATATCTGCAAAGTAGTTAAAAACGCTGTCAGTTCCACTTTAAATAACTTAATTATAGAGCTCATCATTTTAAGTGAGGAGCAATAGAGCTGACATTTTTCAAATTCCTTGAGCTCTCAGATCCAGAGCCCAACATCCATTATGTCTGAAAACAATAGACATAGACACACATGACATGTAAAACATGGAGCTTTCAGAATGGATTTAACTGTTGACCTTGACCATTGCTTGAATAGAGGACGCTTTCCATTTAGTGATGTGTGTGCACTTGTGTTTATATGTGTGTGCATCTGTAGTTGAATGAAAATTATGTTGAATATGATAGTAAACTACATTACTCAATCTTACTTCATTATTATGTGAATAAATGCAACAGGCTTTGTACGTCACTGGAGGATCTAGTCAAGGTAGTTGGAGGCTGCTTATGGTAAAGAAATGAACATTAAATTCTCTGGCAACAGCTCTGGTGGACATTCCTGCAGTCAGCATGCGAATTGCACACTCACTCAAAACTTTAGACAGCAGTGGCATTGTGTTGTGTGACAAAACTGCACATTTTAAAGTGGCCCCAGCACAAAGGGTACACCTGTGTAATGATCATGCCGTTTAATCAGCTTCTTGATATGCCACACCTGTCAGGTGGAAGGATTATCTTGGCAAAGGGGAAATGTTCACTAACATGGATGTAAACAAATTTGTGCACAATTTGAGAGAAATAAGATTTTTGTGCATATGGAAAAATGTGGGGATCTTTTACTTCAGCTCATGAAACATGGGACTAACCCTTTACATGTTGCGTTTATATTTTTGTTCAGTATAAATAAGACTTAACGTGGTTACACGTGTCTTCAGTTCAAAATAATCTCTAAGAGAAAAAACGATGTGTGTGTGTGATACACACAGGAGCTTGCTAACAAGTTCTCAAATTCAAGATGGAACTCACGCCCAACCTGAATTAACATTAACACAATAGGCAGGAAAACACACCCAGATTCTAATCTAATCAACTCAATTTAAATGATAGGAGCGCACACCTGTTGCTCCTCTTTCCAACACAGTTTCTCTGTAACAATAAATCCATAGTACTTACAGTACAATAGAACATATAAAAGTCGTAGCTCTTTATGAACTCTTGAAACAATCCAAACATGACAATTTCATTCACGTAGTAACATTAATTTTGTTGATTCAAGTTTTATCAGTCTTCACACCTCTCCTGTTGTCAGTGACCCCAGGACTTCCGTGGGCACGTCTGTATCACCTTCTCTAATTTTCCCCTGCATTGCAGAAGACAATCAGAGAAACCAGAGAAATACATGGAGAGAGGTGATTACAGTATTGGGTCCATGTACTACCTCCCAAAGGCTTGCCAGGACACAGTGGAGACACTCAACAAGATAGTCACCGTCTGCTTGGCCTGCATTAACCTCTTGTCCATGGTCTTTAGGGTCCTGGTGCTCTCCTCATAGAAGGTATCCTCCTACCAGGGTGCAACGTCAGTCTCCAGGGGTGCACTGCCTAGAATGGTCAGCTGTCCCATAGTAGAATCTTCCATCACCTCCATCAGAAGGTGTGTATGGATTAGCTGGACAGGTCAGGCCCATCATCGGAGTCCGTTTCACATTTGACGACGCACCACTGTTTGTGAAAGACTTTGAAAACATTCGAAATAGCAGTAAAAGTACACACATCATGATGTCATACTCTGCAATGTATGACACATACAGATTACGAAATAAATGTTTTATAAATAAATGCACTCACTAACTGTAAGTGGCTCTGGATAAGAGCGTCTGCTAAATGACTCAAATGTAAATGTAATGACAACAACAATAAGTTGTGAATAAAGTTTCATTAATATGAAAACTAGTTATCCCATCAACTACCTGATCCAAACAGATGACGAGTTAGGAGACAAATGATCTGGATGGATGAAAGGAAACAAGCCCAACCAACCGTCCAGCATCACCTTCAAATCAAAATTGTAACAATATACGGTAATAAACAATTAGTCCTCCCCCTTTAGAGGGTTGAGTTTGGAAACAAATGAGAACACAATAAAACAATCAGTATAGTGTTGAGCAAATACCTTTCCCACCGCTATTGTACTGAAAGTAAATAAGAACAATAAAATCCTAAGAATATTCCAATCAAAGAAACAATGCATAAGAGGCTATAACAAATAGGTACAGAAAATGTTCTGGCACTGTGAAAATTACAATCAATCAGTCAATGAAACTCTATATTTCCACGTTCTCAGCAGACAAATCATAAAAGCAATTGTGTTGTAAATTTCGGACTGGTTTCTAAACCAGCACGGGTCAGCCAATAAAATGAGCTGAAATGTATAACTTTAGACCCATTTATGAAAAAGTCAACTCAGATTTTGAATCCAAACCAGTCTGATGTTATAAAAGGGTCTTAGCTTCATTGCCTCTTTCTCTTCTGTTCCTGGTCTGCTGTGGTGAGATATACAGGACAGTCTTTCTCTCTCCATCCCAAAGACTCTTGGGTCAAGGCCTTTTATGCTATGACTTCTCTCCCTCTCTGATCATGACTAGAATAATGCCTTGTAATGCTTGTTAATGCTTTCTAACTTAGGCTTATGCCTTGTATAATGTAATCATTCATTTTACAAAGTAATTAAATACACTTGTATTTAGAATTCCGTTCTCAGACATTTCTAGATTGCACATGGGTTTACTATAATGTTAAATGGAGTCAGATAAACATTTTAATAGGCTAATTACATATTCGTGTCATGGTCGCATGTGTGGTATAAATAATATACATACGACAAATATTACCCCACTACACATCCGTGTGTGTGTGTGCACGTGTTCTACTGTATTGTATCTCTCGGGCCCCCTTCCCCCACCCTACTCATCTGCGGCCCCCATCAGGGTCAGTCGACATCCCTCCCACACACCACGGGATCTTCCTCTTTTCTCTCCTTGTTCACAGGGGAAAGAGGATGGAGCCAGGCCTAGATACCACTCTCTTGGGCTGTGTGTGTGTGTGTGTGTGTGTGTGTGTGTGTGTGTGTGTGGTGTTATGCAGTCGTTGAATCTGTCTCATTTGTCAAATTTTTTTTGTTGCAGTTCTTGTCCATAGGGTAATGTATGGATTCTCTGTGTTTGGTGCCTGGTGTGTGTGTGTGGTTGCATGTGTGTGATGTGTTGTGTGTGTGGTGTGTGTCCCAGGTTGAGATGTCCACTGAGAACAGATGAAAGGAACGAGGCCTGTGACTGATCCGTTCATCCTGATCAGGGGAATTCTACCTCTGTCTTTTTCTCTTTCTCAGTCTCTCTGTCTCTCCCGCTCTAAGCATATGACCCACTTTACTACAGCACCCCCCCCGAAGATTGGCCTACAGAGATCCGGACAGAGAGGGAGAAAGAGCAGAGAGGTGTCTATTCATGAAGATAATTATGCATCTAGAGAATTATGCATCTATCAACACTGTTGCATGTGTAATGTTTTAGTAATTACTATGAATAAATGTTTGTAATTGTATTGTGAATGTTCATGTGAAAGTGTGTGTGCGAATGCGCGCCTGTGAGTGTGTGTGTGGGGGGGGGGGGGGGGGGGGGTGTATGGGGAGAGAGAGAAGCCAGGAAGAGAATGATGCTGTCATGGTATGTTGGCACCACTGACTCGGTCTTTGTGCTGTGAAAGGCAGCCATTCTGGGTGTGTCAGTTAGTTTTTGTCTGTGGCTATGGAGGAGGTGAGAGGCTGTCTTTCAAAGGGACTCTGTACTGAGAACACAAGGCCCCTGCGTTTAGGACAACACAGTCCGGAGAGAGGGAAGAAAAGATCCCTTTGTCCAGACCAGATAGAGGCGGAATACTGGGCATGCTTTGAAGTGCTGTAAAGAAAGCATGCGAATCATGCATCTGTTTACACAGGACTATGACTTCCACAGGACAAGCAAGATATTGACTACTGTGATAAGTAACTCGGGCGCTGCTCAATATTCATACAACGTTATGGTACATGCTTGTCGATTCATTGAAGGCATCTGTACAGCAGACTAGGCCAGGTACACGGAGAGGCCTTTCCTGGAACTCAGAGGCAGACCCCAACCACACTCAATTAGTCCCATGTATCAGGAGGAATGATTTTAAAAAACTGTGTTCCTTCCTACTGGTTCATGTATTTTACCAACACCCTCACTCAGAGATCCATGTCACGAGCTACTCATATTGCAAGATTCCTTGAACTGAGAGGTTCAGAAATCACTTCCTTTGTCAGTGTGATTTACTTTGTCAGTGTGATGCGCCACTATGGCAGGAGAGATGGGGCCCGTTCTGCTGCTGCACTGTAAAGCGGTGCGGGAGGTAAAAGGGTGAGATGGAGGGAGAGCGAGAGAGAGGAGAAGGCCATTAGCATTCACAGGGTGTTGTTTGGTGCTGGCGCCGTCCCTCTGCGCCGATTCAGGCGTCGTTGATTAATTTCAGCCTATTAGCACCCCCCTTTCCTCATCTCCCGCCCCTCCCAGGTTAATTCCCCATGCCAGCGTGCAGAGTCGGGGGCTTCTGGTGTGAGCGATGGAAGAGGGATTGCCAGGGAGCGTGTTGTTGTCAGAACTGTATTAATGAGAACACCACTCTGGTCCTATGGACAGGGGGACTGTGTTTCTGGCTGCGTGCGGTTGCTCTGTCGAGGCCTGGCCTAGTTTCTCCTCTCACCAGGGATCCAAGGGCTGATGCAGATCACCTGACAGTGGCTCGACTGCTCAACCCTGGGGGGGGGGGGGGGGGTAAAATTGACAGAATGGTAGAAATGTTGTCATATTTAGTGTGGAGACAACAAACCTATGGTGCTATTAACCTTCTGTAAATGGTGTGGTCTATATATTATTTGGGGCCAAAGTTTTTGTTCCACTGAGTTTTCACTGGTTTTTCACGCTGAACAGTTTCCCATGTGTATCAAGAATGGTCCACCATCCAAAGGACATCCAGCCAACTTGACACAACTGTAGGAAGCATTGGAGTCAACATGGGCCAGCATCCCTGTGGAATGCTTTAGACACCATGTAGACTCCATGCCCCGACAAATTGAGGCTGTTCTGAGGGCAAAACACAGTGTTAGGAAAGTCTTCTTAATGTTTTGTCAAGTCAGTATATGTTCTGTAGTATTAGGTTGCACCCCCCTTGACAAAAGGTACCATCTCTTAAATGTTGGATCATTACAGACCTTGGAAAGGATCTTGCACACATAGAAGGATTTTGTTAGCATCCCAGTGTGTCTTTGTGTCAGTGGCTAGTAAGAAGTGAGGTCAGACAGTGGGTAAGTGGTAGAGGCCTGCCGGTCTCTGAAGGCAGTTCTCTGCAGGAGCCTCTGCTGCCCACCTGTCCTCCACAGCTGGTCACAACACACCTGGCCTCACCGCCATACAGAGCGTGCACACCTGGATGCTTCTCACTTGATTAATCTGTTTCATTTAGAGCAGCTCATAACAGCTAGGAGCATTTTAGTGTCCTCCATCATCACTGCATGGCTAGTACAGCGTAAACAAGTGCTGTGTGAGAGATGAGACAGTACACAGGTGAAGGGTTGTGTGTGGACTCTTCTATGATGATTGAGGACCAGTTCTATGTCTTGTGAGAGGGAGGTGTGAAACTAATATTCCCATGAGTATTGGACTGGTTGGTTAACTTGGTTTAGGTTATTGGTGTCAGTTAAGCCTGAGAGGCTCTATTAAAAGCTGTCATCAATATCCCATTAACTCCTAGCATGCCAATCTACTCCATTAGGAAAGTCTAATGGCATTAAAGTTTCAGAAGGCCTGGCTTCACTGTGGCACTTGACGCCTTGCATCCGCAGAAAAGGGCAAAGAAAGAAAGAAAGAAGCGCTGAATATGGAGAAGAGAGTGAGGGACAGCAACACAAAGGTTAAAAGGTAAAGAAATAAAATAAGGAAATCTGAATTGAGAGGTAGTGTGAGAAGGAAGCAGAGGGAGAAGGGATCAGGCTAGTCTCCGTGGATGTGGTGATGAGGTTCAGTACAGGAGTGGGCGGCTGGCTCCAGCTTAAGCAACTCCGCACCGCTCTGTAGCCTGCTGAATTATTCACTAACCCTCTAATCGGCTCTGTGCCCACTGGGGCAGAGTGGCGACACGGTGGTCCACCCGCCCGTGCCGGCCCACCCTGACCTGTGAGTTTAGAGCTGTGTCAGTGCTGCTCCGCACACGAGGGTTCACGACTCCAGCCTCGGCATACACTTGTCTTCATCGAACCGATTACCTCTTTACACTGTGGTTGATGGGACACACACAGACTGTGGCAGACACACAAAGCGGTTGACCCCATGACCCTACAGAGCTCCGAGGGATGTTCTCCTGGTAGCAGGGCTGACCTCGCTCTGCTCATTAACACAGTAGATCACAGGACAGGTCCCCTGAACGGAATAAAGTTATTCTACACTCTTCAGAATGTAGTCCTCAGCACAATTATTCAGTGAAAGTGCAAATATACTGTACTTTTGAGTTTCTGTAGCTGTATTACTGTACCTGTTATGCAGTGGCTTTGTATTCACACTGACTATACAAAACATTAAGAACACCTGCTCTTTCCATGACATGGACTGACCAGGTGAATCCAGGTGAAAGCTATGATTCTTTATTGATGTCACTTGTTAAATCAATTTCAATCAGTGTAGATGAAGGGGAGAAGAGAGGTTAAAGATTTGTAATCCTTGAGACAATTGAGACATGGATTGTGTATGTGAGCCATTCAGAGGGTGAATGGGCAAGACAAAATATTTAAGTGCCTTTGAACGGGGTATGGTAGTAGGTGCCAGGCGCACCGGTTTGTGTCAAGAACTGCAATGCTGCAGTTTTTTTCATGTTCAACAGTTTCCTGTGTGTATCAAGAATGGTCTACCACCCAAAGGATCCAGCCAACTTGACACAACTGTGTGATGCATTGGAGTCAACATGGGCCAGCCAGCATCCCCGTGGAATGCTTTCGACACCATGTAGAGTCCATGCCCCGATGAATTGAGGCAACTCAATATTAGGAAGGCATTCTTAATGTTTGGTATACTCAGTGTATACAGTATACTGTAGCTCATGTAATGTTGTGTGATTTGCTGTCTTCCTCAGGTAAGCGACTACAGGAGTGGATCAGTGTAGTTCTGTGCCTCTCTCTCTTCATCATCAACCTTTCCTTCCTTCTCCTCAACTTCTCCACTGTGCACATCTACAAAATCATCTTCGGCATCCGTAAGTTTCTCTAACACATTTTTTGTTGTTTCTCTTTGAAATGACCTTGAAATAGTCTGAAATTACAGTATGTCTTCAAAAAATGTATTGTCTGATATTATGGCAAAAGATTTGTGTATGGTAAAATACTTTTCCCTCCTTTCCTCCCTGCTCCCCACTCCAGTAATGGGGATAGTGATGGCAGACTTTGCCTCTGGTATGGTGCACTGGGGAGCAGACACCTGGGGCTCTGTGGACATCCCTGTCCTTGGGAAGGTAAGGTACAGGGTTCAGAGTTCAAGGTCATTTCCAGACCTCAGACTCATCATTTGACTCTTGAGAAGGATTACAAATGACTATAGTGCCTTCAGAAAGTATTCACACCACTTGACTTTTTCCACATTTTGTTGTGTTACAGCCTGAATTTAAAATGGATTGAATTTAGATTTTGTCACTGGCCTACACAATACCCCATAATGTCAAAGTGGAATTAGGTTTTTCAAATTTGTACTAATTAATTAAAAATGAAAAGCTGAAATACGTTGAGTCAATAAGTATTCAACCCCTTTATTATGGTAAGCCTAAATAAGTTCAGGAGTAAAAATGTGCTTAATAAGTTGCATGGATTCACTCTGTGTGCAATAATAGTGTTTAACACCTAATCTCTGTACTCCACACATACAATTATCTGTAAGGTTGAGCAGTGAATTGCAAACAGATTCAACCACAAAGACCAGGGAGGTGTTCCAATGCCTCGCAAAGACGGGCACCTATTGGTAGCTGAGTAAAAAAAGAAGCAGACATTGAATATCTATTTGATCATGGTTAAGTTATTCATTACACTTTGGATGGTGTATCAATACACCCAGTTACTACAAAGATACAGGCTTTCTTCCTAACTAAGTTGCCGGAGAGGAAGAAAACCGCTTATGGATTTCACCATGAGACCAATGGTGTCTTTAAAACAGTTACAGAGTTTAATGGCTGTGATAGGAGAAAACGGAGGATGGATCAACAACATTGTAGTTACTCCACAATACTAACCTAATTGATAGAATAAACATATTCCAAAACATGCATCCTGTTTGCAACAAGGCACCAAAATAATACTGCCAAAAAAGTGGCAAAGCAATTAACTTTTTTGTTGTTTTTGTTTGGGGCAAATCCAATAAAAGAAATTAGAGTACCACGCTCTATATTTTCAAGCATAGTGGTGGCTGCATCATGTTATGGGTATGATTGTAATCGTTAAGGACTGGGGAGTTTTTCAGGATAAAAAAATTAACGGAATGGAGCTAAGCACAGGCAAAATCCTAGAGGAAAACCTGGTTCAGTCTGCTTTCCACCAGACACTGGGAGACAAATTTACCTTTCAGCAGAACAATAACCTAAAACACAAGGCCAAAACAACACTGGAGTTGCTTACTAAGAAGACGGTGAATGTTCCTGAGTGGTCGAGTTACAGTGTTGACTTAAATATGCCTGAAAATGTATGGTAAGACTTGAAAATGGTTCTCTAGCAATGATCAACAACCAATTTGACAGAGCTTGAATAATTTTTTTAAGAATAATGGGCAAATATTGTACAATCCAGGTGTGCAAAACTCTTAAACTTACCCAGAAAGACTCACAGCTGTAATCGCTGCCAAAGGTGATTCTAACATGTATTGACTCAGGGGTGTGGATACTTATGTATCTGGTCCTCTGTAGCTCAATTGGTAGAGCATGGCGCTTGTAACGCCAGGGTAGTGGGTTCGATCCCCGGGACCACCCATACGTAAAAATGTATGCGCACATGACTGTAAGTCGCTTTGGATAAAAGCGTCTGCTAAATGGCATATTATATTATTATTATTATTTATGTAAATTAGATATTTCTGTATTTCATTTTCAATAAGTTTACAAAAATTTCTAAAAGCATGTTTTCACTTTGTCATTGTGTGGTATTGTGTAGATGAGTGAGGAAAACAAATATATTTTGAATTCAGGCTGTAACACAACAAAATGTGGAATAAGTCAAGGGGTATAAATACAGTGGCTTGCGAAAGTATTCACCCCCCTTGGCATTTTTCCTATTTTGTTGCCTTACAACCTGCAATTAAAATGGATTTTTTTTTTGGGGGGGGGGGGGTTGTATCATTTGATTTACACAACATGCCTACCACTTTGAAGATGCAAAATATTTTTTTTTGTGAAACAAACAAGAAATAAGATTTTTTTTAAAACAGAACACGAGCGTGCATAACTATTCACCCCCCCAAAGTCAATGCTTTGTAGAGCCACCTTTTGCAGCAATTACAGCTGCAAGTCTGTTGGGGTATGTCTCTATAAGCTTGACACATCTAGCCACTGGGATTTTTGCCCATTCTTCAAGGCAAAACTGCTCCAGCTCCTTCAAGTTGGATGGGTTCCGCTGTGGTACAGCAATTTTTAAGTCATACCACAGATTCTCAATTGGATTGAGGTCTAGGCTTTGACTAGGCCATTCCAAGACATTAAAATGTTTCCCCTTAAACCACTCAAGTGTTGCTTTAGCAGTATGCTTAGGGTCATTGTCCTGCTGGAAGGTGAACCTCCGTCCCAGTCTCAAATCTCTGGAAGACTAAAACAGGTTCAAGTATTTCCCTGTATTTAGCGCCATCCATCATTCCTTCAATTCTGACCAGTTTCCCAGTCCCTGCCGATGAAAAACATCCCCACAGCATGATGCTGCCACCACCATGGTGTTCTCCGGTGATGAGAGGTGTTGGGTTTGCGCCAGACATAGCGTTTTCCTTGATGGCCAAAAAGCTCAGCTTTAGTCTCATCTGACCAGAGTACCTTCTTCCATATGTTTGGGGAGTCTCCCACATGCCTTTTCGCGAACACCAAACGTGTTTGCTTATTCTTTTCTTCAAGCAATGGCTTTTTTCTGGCCACTCTTCCGTAAAGCCCAGCTCTGTGGAGTGTACGGCTTAAAGTGGTCCTATGGACAGATACTCCAATCTCAGCTGTGGAGCTTTGCAGCTCCTTCAGGGTTATCTTTGGTCTCTTTGTTGCCTCTCTGATTAATGCCCTCCTTGCCTGGTCCGTGAGTTTTGGTGGGCGGCCCTGTCTTGGCAGGTCTGTTGTGGTGCCATATTCTTTCAATTTTTTAATAATGGATTTAATGGTGCTCCGTGGGATGTTCAAAGTGTCGGATATTTTTTTATAACCCAACCCTGATCTGTACTTCTCCACAACTTTGTTCCTGACCTGTTTGGAGAGCTTCTTGGTCTTCATGGTGCCGCTTGCTTGGTGGTGCCCCTTGCTTAGTGGTGTTGCAGACTCTGGGGCCTTTCAGAACAGGTGTATATATACTGAGATCATGTGACAGATCATGTGACACTTAGATTGCACACAGGTGGACTTTATTTAAATAATTATGTGACTTCTGAAGGTAATTGGTTGCACCAGATCTTATTTAGGGGCTTCATAGCAAAGGGGGTGAATACATATGCGCGCACCACTTTTCCGTTATTGATTTTTTTGAATTTTATGAAATAAGTTCTTTTTTTTCATTTCACTTCACCAATTTGGACTATTTTATATATGTCCATTACATGAAATCAATTTAAATTACAGGTTGTAATGCAACAAAATAGGAAAATCGCCAAGGAGGATGAATACTTTTACAAGGCACTGTACTTTCTGAAGGCACTGTACATACATATCAGTCATATGAGAGATTGTTAGGCAAAACAAAGGCAAAACATAATATAATCTAATTTCTCAATGAGTTATATCAGTGAAGTCACACCCACACTGTCTGTATACCTGTGCTTTTGCAATCCACCGCCCAGCACACCGACGCCCACCCCCACTGTCCTGCTCCTGTGCTGAGCAGGCCACATCCAGCCAGTCTCCCCCTTCCTGTCCCTCCTACATCCCAGTTGTGTGAAGGGTACAGTCATCCAGGGTTATTACCATACAGTAGCACTGGGCTTTATTGGTCTGTAGTGGTTTATCCTCCCTTGGCTTCTCCAAGCAAAATGTCATCCTATCCCCCAGGATATACTACTACCTTTCTGCCTGGACCCCCCAAGCCACCACCACAGCCACCCCAGCCCACCTTCTACACATTGCCCACCCCTCTGGGGCTGGGGTTACAGCACCCTGGGCTCCGTATTAATGCATAAGCACAACTTGGTCATGCTCCCCTCTCCCAATTAAAGAAAAGGTCATTCTTATCCTGTCCAATTAAAAGAGCACCTGGCCCTTATGTTGTGTGGTTGGTGTCATCTTTGAGGTGATGAATCGCTGGCTGTGTGTGTATTTTTGCTGATGATGGGGCTTATTGTTCTATTGTCAGGGGACAGGGGGAGAAAGGGGGTTAGGAGGGAATTGGCATTTCAATCTCCAACTCTGCTTATGATTGTGTATCCAGTATGTGTAATGGCGTCACTGATCTTCACAAATATTTATGTTAAACTGCATACATATTATTATAAAGTATCGTATTTTGACTGTATTCAGACTGTTTCTATGACCAAAGCACAGCTGTGTGGTGAAGTCAGGTGTAACACTGAGACAGTACCAGGGTTGTTCCACCTCAAAAAGCACAATAGAGGATTTCGACACCCACCATCTCAGATTGGTCTGAAATTGTTTCTGTAGTTAGAAACAGATAAGATAAGCATTTCTGCAACATTATTTTTTATATATAATTTGATCTCTGAGAAATTAAGCTAATTGATTGCACCCAAATTGGCCATTTCAATTTATAGGATTCATATAATATTCAATAAATATAGTACCCAACATCCAATTTGCACAAAAACCTCTTCTTAACAATGACTAAAATGTGAGTTATCCAAATAAATGGTCAAACGCCACCCACGGACCCCCCTAAACCCCACCCCAATGGCCAGTGTACAGTATCAGTTCTCTATGTTTGACATGTTGTATGAAGCTGCGACTTTATTCATACTAAGTCATGTATTCTCAGTGAATTTGGAGATATTTTTTCCCCCTGTTCAGATAAATTAGCCATTGAAGTCACTTGCATTTTCCCCATAAATTAAGTGAAAGTACCAGATTTCGCCCACTAGAAGCCGCTGTACCTGCTACTGTCCTTTTATCCATTATATTATGAGTTCTATAAATTGAAATGGCCAATTTGGGTGCAATCAATTAGCTTAATTTCTCAGAGTTCAAATAGTATTTCAACAAAATAATGTTGCAGGAATGCGTATCTTATCTGTTTCTAATTACAGAAAAGATTTCAGAACAATCTGAGATGGTGGGTGTTATTGCTTTCTGAAATGACAGGTACGACTCACCACATATTAGACTACACATGGATCATAGTCACTAGGAATATCATAAATAATGTAAAATAATATACATTCTGAACAGTGTTAAAGGTGTACAATGAAACAAAAATGGATAGGGACCTTTCTTCTAGATGTGTAAGGGCCTACATGTTGGCTACTGTATGTTACTGTACTGCAACAAAGGCCTTGTGTTCTCCTCTGTAGTATATTCCTCAAAACATACCTGTGCCCTGGTGAGGCAGAGGGGGCCGTCCTAGCAGAGCAGCCTGTCTGCCCCCTGTAGTTCCAGCCAAGGGGTCCGGGCCTGCTGCCTGCACTCCTTTCATCAGAAGCCTGTCTGGTTGGAGTTCCAGAGCGGCTCAGCCCCTGTTCAGCCTCCTGCCCCGCCGTGCAGCGGTTACTGCTCTGACTCTGTAACATGGCCGCTGCTCGCTGTCGATCCTTTTGCTGTCTGGGATAATTAGGATTCGCCACCTGGGAACGATTGGACTTCAAAAAGAGAGGGGGAATTTACAGACATCTAGAAAGGAGTGCTTTAAGACCCTTAACCGGCAGATTAAAGGAAACACTTAGAGGATGGATACGCCGTTTTGTCCCGAGGTTCAAACAGAAAAACTTCAATTGAGGGAGAATCATTAATGACAGTGATTAGAGGAGAAAAAACTATAATTGAACGTCTTTAACCAGTTCAGTCCGTAGTCAAGGGTGAGGGGAGGGACATTTCCTTTCCATGGCCGGGTTGCCAGGGCGTTGGTAGATGTGAGTCCTGATTAGTGAAAGGCGGGCGAGGCAGGCCGTTAAACGATGTGGGATTAGTGCTGGTGTGACTCGGGCGGCTGCAGTGTGCGGAGGAGTCCACACACCAGCTCTGTGTGCGGTCTGGGGTTTACCGCTCCTTTCATCTCTGACAGACCGGGAGAAGAGAACGAGAGGAACGGAACGGAAAGGAAGGTGATTGTCAAAATATCGATAGATAGTGTCCCTTTCTCCAGCAGAGTGTCTCAATGTGTCCTCAGATATACATGTGATTGAGTTCTGCCCACACACACAGGATAATTACTGTTTACCGTCAGTGACATGCTATGGTAATATGGCGCCAAAAGGTTCCTCTTTTCATGTGGGAAATAAATGACCTTCATTGTGTATTTTCTCTTTGTGCTAATGCGGTTCTCTCCCTCTGTCCCTTTTCATTTGTGACACCCGCGCTGTTACAGGCAGGTGTCTGTCTCAGCTTAGCGCGAGCTGGTTGTGAGTGACGGCCACCGCTGTTACAAGGTTCATTATGATGCTGGATCAGAGCCATAGGGCTGTGCAGTTTTATAGCAGGTTCTCTCTCTGGTCCTTTTAGCGTGATGGAGACGTTTCTCCTCCGGCTTTCATGTACACTCCTCTAGAGGACAGTGGATCATGAGTTTAACTGTGAGACCAACACCAACCTCTAACCAAGCAGTTCCCAAACTATGTGGGGTTGCCTGATATGAAAAAAGTTGCGGGATAATTTCCAAAATCCGGAGAGAAAAAAATATATATACAAAAAAATATATTATAATATTGTCTTTGCATCTCAAAATTAATGTAATGTGGTTAACCTTGAAAATCTAAATTAAAATTATTGAAATCTGAAAGATGCAATTCACCCAGAGAGCGCCCTTAGATCATGGGAAAAGGCCGCACTTGACGGTCACTTGAATCATTCCCACGGTGAATGGCTAAGCCCGCTACGCTATGAAACCACACACTATTGCAGAGACTTTGATATTACCAGCCACAATTGAAATGGTGGGGGGATTGTGTGGCCACAATGTGTGGGGATGCAGAGGCACAGAAACTCACATCAATACCTGTCAGATAACGCTGTTGAACGAATAATTTATAGCCATTAAAAGAAAACTGACTGAACGACTTAAACTCCTCAGTTTATGCTCTCCAAATGGACGTTAGCTGTGAGGGCCGAGACGCCCATGCATTGACTTTTGTTCGCTATACATGTCGGGGGATGCTATTCACAACATTGTTATGTCTCACAATTCCCGAGCATGAAACGGCACAGGGGATGTTCAGTGTGCTGCGTGGCTATATTGACGAAAAACAGATTCAATGGGATAGAATGGTGGGCTTTTGGACAGATGGGGCTCCATCTATGGCGGGATGGTGTTCGAGTTATGAATATATGGACGCTGCCATATGGACGCATTGTATGATACACCGAGAGCAACTTGCGGCAAAAGAGCTGAGCACAGAACTCGGACATATACTGCAGCAAGTAACTAAGATTGTAAACTACATCAAACCACATCCATTGCGCGCACGCCTTTTCGCAAAACTATGTGGAGATAGGGATCAGAGCATGACAATGTTCTATTTCACACCAAGGCTTGGTGGTTATCGAGGGGGAGTGTTGGAAAGATTTTTCGCACTGAGAGAGGAACTGTTGTCATTCACAATGGATGTAAAAAAAACACATTTTTTAAAAACTGACTTGGTTGACTGACATCCTTGCCTATGTAACAGACATATTTGGTCAAATGAACGAACTGAACCCAAGCATGCAGGGGAAATACAAAAACATTCTACAGATGAGTGACCGAATCAGTGGATTCAGAGGAAATAATTCTTATTGGAGAGCGAGTCTTTCAAAAGCGAACCATGCCCCCTTCCCTCGGCTGTGCATGTTTCTAACAGAAAGCAGCATCAGTAAGTGTCCCACATGAGTGATGACTGCTCACCTCCAATGCTTGGAAGAGCACTTTGGGACCTACTTCTGTTATGTATGGTACGATGTGCTGTACGTCGTACTGTACGTTGTTTTGGTTTATGACAGTGTGCTGCTTTACGGATGAATGGGTTGTCAGAATGAGTGGCACGTCATTAAAGGACAGAGTGATGTACAATGTGAAACTGTGCAGATGTGCGTTCTTCTACAGCTAGGCTAGATATAACATTGGCAACGAAGATGGATGAATTCAGCTTACCACCGCCAGCACCATTCCTCGCCGTGCCTGGTGAACCTCCAGTCCTGTGAAATAACTGGCTTGAAAGTTTTAACACTTATCTCGTAGCTATGGACCTTTCTACAATCTCCGACAAGCGGAGGACAGCACTGCTCCGTCACTGCCTCGGTACAGAGGGACAGAGGATTTTCAGAGCGCTTGGATCGGCTCCAACATTCACCGCTGCAGTCAGCCTCCTACGGAACCACTTCGCCGGGAAAGAGCAAGTGCTCCTCCGACGCTACCGGCTACGGAAAAGGCACCAACGGCCGGGTGAGTCCATTCAAAGCTACGTGGCTAATCTGAGGGATTTGGCTAGCTCTTGTAACTACGGGACACTTCAGTACGAGATCATCAGGGATCAGTTGATAGAGGGGACGTTATGTGAAAAGACAAGGGAGAAACTGCTTTTGGAATCTGATATTTTACAACTTGATGGAGCTATTAAAATAGCACTCCAGGTTGAAGGGGCTTTGGAATGATCTACTATGCTAACAGACAGCTCTGCAGCATACACTCGGCCCCCAGCCATTCTCACACAGCAGCTTCAGCTCGAGCAGGCACATTACAATGATCACGCGCTGCGCACGCCCTCCCACGTCGATAGCTGCATGCCCGTGCAGCAGGCACACAGACAAACAAACAGAAGTAGCTGTGGCAACTGTGGGGCTAGCTCTCACAATTCAAGGGCTTCAAACTGCCCAGCCCGTGGGAAAATATGCAAGAACTGTTCAAAATACAATCACTTTATGAAAGTGTGTCGTTCTGCCCCAGCTACTAGCTCCACCCAGAACAGGCCCTTATTTTCATCTCATTCTCAACATGAACACACTGAAATCCGAACCATCTCCACCAACCATGTGTCATTCAGGACATGCACTGTGCAGCTGGGCGAGGTGGGTTTGCCTTTGCTACTTGATACTGGCGCTGTGGTGTCGTTGCTCAACCTTGCCACTTACTACAAGTTTTTCAGTCACCTACCACTCCAACAGCCCTCCACTGCCCTGTGTGGGTATGGTAGATCCAAGATAGACATTGTAGGCACCCTCCAGGTCCCAGTACACTACGGCACCAAGCATCTGCCATCATTCACATTTCACGTTGCAAAGCGGGATGCCAACCTTCTGGGTATCGACCTCTTCACAGGCTTGGGATTCACACTGAGCGATGACAGTGGGTCAGCTATCCACCAAGTTACCTGCACATGGCAACAGAACTGGCCAACTCTGTTTGATGGACTGGGCTGCCTCACAGCCTTCACTCACAGGCCCCTAGTGAACCCGGACGTGACCCCAGTCATGCAGCCCCTGCGGCGCATTCCCTTTGCATGTAAATGACGTCACAAAAGATCTCCAGTCACAGTTGGAGGCAGGCATCATTGAGCCAGTCAACGCTGCCCCCTGGATTTCAAACTTGGTCATTGCAACCAAAAAGTCAGGTGGAATCCAGACCTGTGTGGATAATAATAATAATAATATGCCATTTAGCAGACGCTTTTATCCAAAGCGACTTACAGTCGTGCGTGCATAAATTTTTTGTGTATGGGTGGTCCCGGGGATCGAACCCACTACCTTGGCGTTACAAGCACCATGCTCTACCAGCTGAGCTACAGAGGACCATCTCCGTGCTGTGAACAAGGCCGTTGTCCCGGATAAGTACCCCTTGCCTACAGCTGAGGAGCTGACCGCACAATTTCATGGTTCCACGATCTTCATCAAGCTCGACCTGCGTCAGGGTTATCTTCAGGTACCCCTCCATGCAGCTAGCAGATACCTCACGGCCTTTGTCACACATGAAGGCGTGTTCAGATATACACGCATGCCTTTTGGACTTAGCTCCGCCCCCAGCTGCTTCCAGAAGGTGATGAGCACCATCCTCGCTGGAATACCTGGTGTGGCGGTCTATCTGGACGACATCGTGGTCCACGGCCCTGACCTCCACATCCATGATTATCGACTCCACAGAGTATTCAGTGCTCTACTGCGGAACAACCTGACCCTGAACGGTGGAAAGTGCACATTTGCAGCTCCAGCCGTCGAGTTTGTGGGGTTCCGCCTGTTGGCCAAAGGCATTACCCCACTCATGTCGAACATTGAAGCCGTCCACCGGATCCCGGAACTGACCTCAGCCTCTCAGGTGGCCTCATTCTTGGGCATGATAGCCTACTACCTCCGGTTTCTGCCCGACTACTCTCAGACCAGAGCGCCCCTTCGCCAGCTCCTCAAGAAGGACGAGCCATGGGCCTGGACGGCAGCCTGCTCAGATGCAGTCCGCTCACTGAAGAGCCAGCTCACCACAGCCACAGCTCACTTTGACCCTGTCTGCCCCACCATTGTCACATGAGACGCCTCAGCTGGAGCACTAGGAGCTGTCCTCTCACAGCTGCAGAATGGCGTTGAGAGGCCCATCGCTTTCGCCTCAAGGGCCCGGAGCCCCACTGAACAACGGTACTCTGTGGGCGAACGAAAAGCACTGGCCTGTGTGCCACAAACTTTCTTGCTGGGAAGAAGTCTGTGTCTCTCAAGGGTTTTGCACTGTGGTCCCGAGTGGCCTGCGTGCGCGTGTTCTATCCATGGCGCACGAAGGTCAAACAGCGATGTCGAGACCTTGTGTGGTGGCCAGGTATCGACCACGACATTGAAGCCCTGGTCAGAGATTGTGCTGCATGCCTCCTCAGTGGGAAAACAGGACAGTCCGCCCCACCCCCCCTGCAGCCTCTCTCATGGCCGTCCCGCCCCTGGGAGCACATCCAGCTGGACATCTGTGGCGAAATCCATGGACACGCAGTCCCTCACCATCAGCGCTTCCTGGTGGTGGCGTATGACCACCAAGTGGCCAGAAGTGGTTCCTGTCGGAACTGTCACAACACAGGCCATCGTGGACATCCTAGACAGCCTGTTCACAAGGTGGGGCCTACCCCTCACCCTCACCACGGACAATGGGCCCCAGCTAACCTCTGCCGAGTTCTCCTCATATCTCAGCAACAAGGGAATCAAACACATCCGCACGGCCTACTACAACCCACAAGCTAACGGAGGGGTGGAACGCTTCAACCAAACGCTGAAGAACGGCATCAGAGCGCACCTGGTCCAGGGGTGCACGTTTCAAACGCTAATGCACTACAGAGCAAGCAAACACACAACAACACAGGTCTCCCCGGCATCTCTCATGCTAGGTCGTGAGATGGAACTGCCACTGGACAGACTCAGAACACAGAGAGTAGCAGAACCGGCAACTAGGCGCACCCAAGAAAAGCAGGCAGTGACCAGGCACCAAAGAGCAATGAAACAGTGTTTCGACAAGGCACACAGGGTGACGAAATCAATCATCCAAGTGTCAGACTGGGTTCGAGCTCGACGGCCTCAGCGGTGCAACAAAATGGCCTCATTCTGGTCGGACCCCTTGCAGGTCAGTCGACAACTGGGGCCCGCCACATTCATGATGAGCAATGGATCACGCTGGCACGCCAGCTGCCTCAGGAAAGTCCCTGCCCCTCAAGGAATACGAATGCCCACAAAACAAACATACAGGCCAGAGACGCCACCTGATGGACCTCCTCCACCACTACCACCCAAGCCGCAGCCTCTGTGGGTTCCCCAAGGGCCAGAGCCACAAGCGGTGGCAGTTGAACAAAGGCCTATGCGGGCAAGAACTCGCCCTGCTCATCTGGGGGACTACTTAACCTCTTTTCATTCTTAGGCTCCGTTAGGTGTCTTAGTCAACCTCCAGGTTAATGGACTGAACTGGCTAGTTTGGAGAGTCTTTCCGTTTAAGGGTTAATGTTTATTTCTTACAGGTATCACTCTAGGTTCCTGCACTATGGACATTTTTATATATGGTACCCGTCCCTGGTTTTGGAAAGGGGGGAGAAATGTTATGTATGGTACGACGTGCTGTACGTCGTACTGTACGTTTTTTTGGTTTATGACAGTGTGCTGCTTTACGGATGAATGGGTTGTCAGAATGAGTGGCACGTCATTAAAGGACAGAGTGATGTACAATGTGAAACTGTGCAGATGTGCGTTCTTCTACAGCTAGGCTAGATATAACAACTTCCCAATCCATTTGACTGTGATCCTGGCTCAGTTGACATGTGACCGAATGCTGCAGACAACGCATTCACGGGTCAATCAAAGGGCATACTCTGCTGTCTCCCTCTGAGCATTAATGCCGCTTTCAAAACAACTGGGAACTTGGAAATCTCCGACTTCAGTGCATTCATGACAACTGGGAATTCTGAAAAATCGAGCTCTGACTGGGAAAAATAGTTTTGAATGGTCATCCAACTCGGAATTTCAACGCGGGAACTCGGGCCTCTTTCTAGAGCTCAGAATTTCCGACCTGAAGATCACTGACGTCATGATTTGACCTCGTAATTTTCTGAGTACCTAGTTGTCTTGAAAGCACCATAAAACTCATGGTACCCTTCGCCAGCTCATATGTGTGAAGCTGGAATCAGTGCTCTCGTCTGCATTAAAACCTAATATTGATCAAGGTTGGATGTGACAGCAGAGATGAGGTGCGCACTGTCGACCATGCCCCCTGACTTTGAGAAGCTCCGACGTGACATGCATCAAGCACACCCATCTCAGTGGTTGTGAGATAAGAGAAATTATGAAAGACTAATTTGCAATTGACTGTCATAGCCCCACATTAAAAGTATGTGATGGTGAGTTGAGAAGACAATCAGAAATACACTTCATGTTTTGCAATTGACTGTCATAGCCCCAAATAAAAAAAAGTTAATGTTGACTAATAATTACATACTTTTTTTCACATGGTTGGGGTTGCGAGAATTTACAGATATAAAAATGGGGACATGGGCCAAAACAGTTTGGGAATCCCTGCTCTAACCCTTTGGAGTTCGATCACACCAGGGTTTAGGATTTATGTAGAAAATCCCATTCCCAACCATAGCACACCCCCTGACCGACTTACATAATATAGCTTCCAATCGTTTTTTCATACAGTTGAAGTCGGAAGTTTACATACACCTTAGCCAAATACATTTAAACTCAGTTTTTCACAATTCCTGACATTTAATCCTAGTAAAAATTCCCTGTCTCAGGTCAGTTAGGATCAGCACTTTATTTTAAGAATGTGAAATGTCAGAATAATAGTAGAGAGAATGATTTATTTCAGCTTTTATTTCTTTCATCACATTCCCAGTGGGTCAGAAGTTTACATACACTCAATTAGTATTTGGTAGCATTGCCTTTAACTTGTTGACCTTCGGTCAAACGTTTCGGGTAGCCTTCCACAAGCTTCCCACAATAAGTTGGGTGAATTTTGGCACATTCCTCCTGACAGAGCTGGTGTAACTGAGTCAGGTTTGTAGGCCTCCTTGCTCGCACATGCTTTTTCAGTTCTGCCCACAAATCTTCTATAGGATTGAGGTCAGGGCTTTGTGATGGCCACTCCAATACCTTGACTTTGTTGTCCTTAAGCCATTTTGCCACAACTTTGGAAGTATGCTTGGGGTCATTGTCCATTTGGAAGACCCATTTGCGATCAAGCTTTAACTTCCTGACTGATGTCTTGAGATGTTGCTTCAATATATCCACATAATTTTCCTTCCTCATGATGCCATCTATTTTGTGAAGTGCACCAGTCCCTCCTGCAGCAAAAAAAGCACCCCCACAGCATGATGCTGCCACCCCCGTGCTTCACGGTTGGGATGGTGTTCTTCGGCTTGCAAGCCACCCCGTCTTTTCATTTTCCCATGATGTCAAGCAAAGAGGCACTGAGTTTGAAGGTAGGCCTTGAAATACATACACAGGTTCAATTACATTTACATTTGACATTTTAGTTATTTAGCAGACACTCTTATCCAGAGCGACTTACAGTTAGCCTATCAGAAGTTTCTAAAGCCATGACATCATTTCTGGAATTTTCCAAGCTGTTTAAAGGCACAGTGAACTTAATGTATGTAAACTTCTGACCCACTGGAATTGTGATACAGTGAATTATACGTGAAATAATCTGTCTGTAAACAATTGTTGGAAAAATTACTTGTCATGCACAAAGTAGATGTTCTAACCGACTTGCCAAAACTATAGTTTGTTAACAAGAAATCTGTGGAGTGGTTGAAAAACAAGTTTTAATGACTCCAACCTAAGTGTACCTAAACGTCCGACTTTAACTGTTCATCCTTCCTTTAGCATCTCTTCCCTGTGTTTTAATGGACACAGCATTGTGAGAGCTACCCCTACCAACCTAGCACAAGTTCCAATATTTGCCATGGTCCTCCGAGACGGATTTGAACCAGTAACGATACCTGATGACCATTTTATTGTTTTGGGAAATCTCTGGTATTTTGTTGCCCTTCAGATGATAAGGTACACGCTAAGTAGACCTCTGTCTGTGACTGCAATGGATAGCCCATCTTACGTTGTGTCTGACATGATTGGATTACACTGAATATTCAGTTGTAAGTTAATTATCATAATGATATTCCTCTAACTACCTTCCCTCCTCCTCTATCTTGTTCCCTTTTTCTCCAGGCATTCATCCGTCCATTCCGGGAACACCACATTGACCCCACAGCCATCACGCGACACGACTTCATAGAGACCAATGGGGACAACTGCATGCTCACAATACTGCCTCTAGCACATATGGCCTACAAGTTCCTGACATACCAGCCAGGTGAGAGAGAGGGGATGGACACACACACCCATGCATTACAACCTGATCAAGGTCCTCATCCATAAAGGATGTGTGTGTGTGTGACACAACGCGGAGAGGAGCTGTAGACAGACAGACAGACGCGGAGCACTCTCAGGCCATGACAGGGTGATGTGTTTTATGAGAGACAAGATGTCAGGGCTTCAGGGTGGCTCGGAGCAAGCCGGAGGTCACTGACCCTGTCATGAGCCGTGTCACAGTAAGAGGAGACGGGGCGGAGGGCAGGGAAGCCTTGCGGGGTGACAGGGTGACATCCACACCTGTCATGTCTGCTGCTGGCTGAGAATCAGGGTGAGTGGAGAGGGGGACATGGAGGAACACGTAAGACCAGCGTGAGAGTGTAGCCAAACAGAAACCAGACTCCACCACAACTTTTTAGGCTTTCTAGTCATCTCACCAACACTTGTTCTCCAAAATATGCTGATAATACTGTACTGTTTCATACTTGCAAGTGAATACCTTAAATAGTATAAAGTGGGTTGTTAGTCATTTACATGTGAAGATGCTTCAGACATACTGAAACCACCTTGTCATTTTCAATGAATGGCACAATTATCTCCCTCAACAACAACTCCCTCTCTCCCCCTCTCGCGCTCTCTCTCAGATGCCCTAGCAGAGACCTACCCCTGGCAGTGCTTTGTGTTTGCACTGGCAGTCTTCGTGACGTTGACCAATCAGATCCATAAATGGTCTCACTCCTACTTTGGTCTTCCCCGCTGGGTGACACTGCTGCAGGACTATCACCTGGTGTTACCCCGGAAACACCACCGCATCCACCACGTGTCCCCTCACGAGACCTACTACTGCATCACAACAGGTACTATACACTACTGTACTGACATAACCGCTTATTACTTTATCACTTCAGGTACTACACTGAGTATGCAAAACATTAAGAACTCTTTCCATTACATAGACTGACCAGGTGAATCCAAGTGAAAGCTATGATCCCTTATTGATGTCACTTCTTAAATCCACTTCAATCAGTGTAGATGAAGGGGAGGAGACCGGTTAAAAAAATATTTTTAAACCTTGTGACAATTGAGACATGGATTGTGTACAGTGGGGAAAAAAAGTATTTAGTCAGCCACCAATTGTGCAAGTTCTCCCACTTAAAAAGATGAGAGAGGCCTGTAATTTTCATCATAGGTACACGTCAACTATGACAGATAAAATGAGAAAATAAAATCCAGAAAATCACATTGTAGGATTTTTTATGAATTTATTTGCAAATTATGGTGGAAAATAAGTATTTGGTCAATAACAAAAGTTTCTCAATACTTTGTTATATACCCTTTGTTGGCAATGACACAGGTCAAACGTTTTCTGTAAGTCTTCACAAGGTTTTCACACACTGTTGCTGGTATTTTGGCCCATTCCTCCATGCAGATCTCCTCTAGAGCAGTGATGTTTTGGGGCTGTCGCTGGGCAACACGGACTTTCAACTCCCTCCAAAGATTTTCTATGGGGTTGAGATCTGGAGACTGGCTAGGCCACTCCAGGACCTTGAAATGCTTCTTACGAAGCCACTCCTTCGTTGCCCGGGCGGTGTGTTTGGGATCATTGTCATGCTGAAAGACCCAGCCACGTTTCATCTTCAATGCCCTTGCTGATGGAAGGAGGTTTTCACTCAAAATCTCACGATACATGGCCCCATTCATTCTTTCCTTTACACAGATCAGTCGTCCTGGTCCCTTTGCAGAAAAACAGCCCCAAAGCATGATGTTTCCACCCCCATTCCTCACAGTAGGTATGGTGTTCTTTGGATGCAACTCAGCATTCTTTGTCCTCCAAACACGACAAGTTGAGTTTTTACCAAAAAGTTATATTTTGGTTTCATCTGACCATATGACATTCTCCCAATCCTCTTCTGGATCATCCAAATGCACTCTAGCAAACTTCAGACGGGCCTGGACATGTACTGGCTTAAGCAGGGGGACACGTCTGGCACTGCAGGATTTGAGTCCCTGGCGGCGTAGTGTGTTACTGATGGTAGGCTTTGTTACTTTGGTCCCAGCTCTCTGCAGGTCATTCACTAGGTCCCCCCGTGTGGTTCTGGGATTTTTGCTCACCGTTCTTGTGATCATTTTGACCCCACGGGGTGAGATCTTGCGTGGAGCCCCAGATCGAGGGAGATTATCAGTGGTCTTGTATGTCTTCCATTTCCTAATAATTGCTCCCACAGTTGATTTCTTCAAACCAAGCTGCTTACCTATTGCAGATTCAGTCTTCCCAGCCTGGTGCAGGTCTACAATTCTGTTTCTGGTGTCCTTTGACAGCTCTTTGGTCTTGGCCATAGTGGAGTTTGGAGTGTGACTGTTTGAGGTTGTGGACAGGTGTCTTTTATACTGATAACAAGTTCAAACAGGTGCCATTAATACAGGTAACGAGTGGAGGACAGAGGAGCCTCTTAAAGAAGAAGTTACAGGTCTGTGAGAGCCAGAAATCTTGCTTGTTTGTAGGTGACCAAATACTTATTTTCCACCATCATTTGCAAATAAATTCATAAAAAATCCTACAATGTGATTTTCTGGATTTTATTTCCTCAATTTGTCTGTCATAGTTGACGTGTACCTATGATGAAAATGACAGGCCTCTCTCATCTTTTTAAGTGGGAGAACTTGCACAATTGGTGGCTGACTAAATACTTTTTTCCCCCAATGTATGTGTGCCATTCAGAGCGTGAATGGGCAAGACAAAAGATTGATGTGCCTTTGAACGGGGTATGGTAGTAGGTGCCAGGCGCACCGGTTTGAGTGTGTCAAGAACTGCAACTCTGCTGGGTTTTTCACGCTCAACAGTCTCCTGTTTCAAGAATGGTCCACCACCCAAAGGACATCCAGCCAACTTGACACAACTGTGGGAAGCATTGGAGTCAACATGGGCCATCATTTTTGTTGAACACTTTCGACACCTTGTTGAGTCCATGCCCCAACTAATTGAGGCTGTTCTGAGGTCGAAAGGGGGGGTGCAACTCAATATTAGGAAGGTGTTCCTAATGTTTGGTATACTCAGTGTATACACTACTCTGTATATTGCCTAAGAGGTACTATACGGTCCTGAACTAATATACTTATTACTACTACATCACCACAGGTACTAAACCCTACTGTACTGATATATACTGCTTACTACTTTATCGCTTCAGAAACTATACACTACTCTGTATATTACCTAAGAGGTACTGAACTAATATACTTTTTACTACTGCATAGCCACAGGTAATCCACAGTACTGTACTGACATACTGCCTACTACTGCATCACCACAGGTACTGTTCAGTATTGCACTGACTTCCTACTGTAACACATTACTGACATACCGCCTACTGTAACCACAACATCACCATGGCTACTGTAACACATTACTGACATACCGCCTACTGTAACCACAACATCACCATGGCTACTGTAACACATTACTGACATACCGCCTACTTTAACCACAACATCACCATGGCTACTGTAACACATTACTGACATACCGCCTACTGTAACCACAGCATCACCATGGCTACTGTAACACATTACTGACATACCGCCTACTGTAACCACAGCATCACCATGGCTACTGTAACACATTACTGACATACCGCCTACTGTAACCACAGCATCACCATGGCTACTGTAACACATTACTGACATACCTCCTACTGTAACCACAGCATCACCATGGCTACTGTAACACATTACTGACATACCGCCTACTGTAACCACAGCATCACCATGGCTACTGTAACACATTACTGACATACCGCCTACTGTAACCACAGCATCACCATGGCTACTGTAACACATTACTGACATACCGCCTACTGTAACCACAGCATCACCATGGCTAGTAACAGTAAGCCACTGCAAATTTGCAGAGGAATTGTCACTGTTCAAACATTCGTGATCTCTACAGCAGTGCAGTGTTGAACAGTAGAGGTAAAGGGATCCACCTACCAAGTGCACTGCAATATCATGCACCATTCCATGCTCATAGCTATCCCCCTGTGACCTACCACTAGAAGAAAACATAGAAGTTCATATGACAATGTACTAAACACGGGTGAGCTAACGGCCATGCTAATAGAAACAGATAAATCAAGAAGAATTTTCAAATGGTGTCATCCATTGAAAGGTCCATCCATTCATGATGGCTGCCGTCTGTGGGTGGTAGATATAAATAACCTGGAAAAGCAATCTGTTTGGTTATGCATGTGTGTGTGTGTAGGCATTAGGCCCCAGTAAGAGATCCACATTGAGTATTCAGTGTGTGTTTGAGAGAGTGCACTGGAGAGAGGATGCTTGTGCGTCACCCTGCCCCCCTATGGAAAACAGATGTGTGTGTGTGTGTGTGTGTGTGTGTGTGTGTGTGTGTGTGTGTGTGTGTGTGTGTGCAGAAGGGTGCGTGTGTGTTTGTGTGAGCGTGTGTGTGCGTACGTGCATGAGCGCACATGCATGTGTGTGTGAACAGTCTTCCTGACACTCCTTCCTCCCCTCGTCTTCCTGGTCCCTAACCTCAGTGGGGGGGATGTGATGAGTGGAGGGGGGAGCGGCCACAGGGGAGCACCACAGCTCTGTCCCCGCTCCTCCACCCTCCCTGCCTGGGTCCCCGCGGCCTGCCGCCTGCCTTTGTGTGTGCCAGTGGCTGACAATCTCCATGTATATTTAATGCTAACCTGCTGTCAGTGCTAACAAATAGGCCTGCATGGGGAGAGAGGAGAAATCAAACAAACAAGCGGAGCTGCTTTGCTCTCCTCTTGGAGAGAGAGGGTCACCGGAGGGACAGAGGGACTGCAGACACACTGCAGCCACAACACACTCTACTCTGTATGCATGCATACACAGCACTCACTGTATGCACTCACAGCATGTGTATGTACTGTGTGTACAGTATGTACTGGATCTCTATAGGCTATTTGATGTGTGTGTGCACAGTGCTTATATATACTGTATCCCTGAATGTGTATGTGTATTTCTCTATCAATACTGTATGTGTGTGTGTGTGTGTGTGTGTGTGTGTGTGTGTGTGTGTGTGTGTGTGTGTGTGTGGCAATTCCTATATTGCATCCAGTATCTTTGTGGATCCAAATAAAGTGTTTGTGTGTGTGTGAACGTGCGTTTGCGTGCGTGTACGACCACGTGTGTTCGCTCCCTTCCTTCCTGTGTATGTGTAATACTAAAAACGTATTTGATGTCCAACCCTCCTGGGAGTGGGTGTCTGATTCTAAAGCATGGCTCAGGGTGGATGTGAGGTATTTGAGTTCTCAGCAGGCCCTGTGTGATGTATGGTGTGTGGAGATGCAGTACATATTTAGAACTGTAAGTGTGTGCATTACTCTGGTGCCAAAGCCAGATCTCCTTCCTCTCCCCAGGGAGCAGAGACCCTCTGAGAGCTGCTGTATCTGCTGCTGCTGCCTGGAACACAGTGTGGTGTGGGGGATATGTGCATGTTTCGTTTGATATCTTCCTTTTATTAACTTGCCTCATCTTTTTCTTCCCATTCTCTTTCTTTTTTTTTCTCATTCCATCCCTCTCTTTCTCAGGGTGGTTGAACTACCCTCTGGACAAGGTGGGCTTCTGGCGGAGGATGGAGAGGTTGATAGAGAGAGTGACGGGTCACATGCCTCGGAGTGATGACATGGAATGGACCAAGAAAATGGAGTGAAGGGCTCTTGGACTCTCTCTGGACCAGTAGGACAGTGGGGTGGGGGTTTGGGGCTGGCAGACTAAGAGTGGGGTGGGTTTTTCTGCTTTTCACCCTCTTCCTCTGTCTCTCTTCCTTACACTATAACACACCTACAGTATATACTTCCTTGTCATGGCACAGCACCTCAGCAATGACACTAGTAATGCGGCCTTCTAGATACTTCCATAATCCATCCGTTCTTTACTTTTGTTTGCTATTTGCATTTTCAGTGTTGCAAGAGAAGCAGACCACAGTCAGACTATGTTTGCAATAGTAGGTCCAGTGGCAGATCTGGGGTTGACTTTGGAGATAAAAACGGTGGATTCTTTGTCCTTTTTGTGACCCCGTTTCTGTCAACTGCTCATCCTTCCATCCAATGGGCTTGTATCTCCTTACATATCTTAACCAATTAGCTGTTATTTTATTGTGTCAGTGTAAGAGGTTTCTGGAGGATGGGCTCTCCAGGGGACAAACTATGTTCCCTTCTCAGGCATTGTCTTACATGACACAGAGAAACAGGCTGTCATCTGGATCCAAATTTAGCTTGATGTAAGAAGGCAATCATATTGCTCCTTACTAAAGTTGGGGCGAAACAACCAAATGTCTTACCAACAGTATGTATTGGCCTTTTAAATTTATCGATTTTATTTGTCTATTCAATGGAATTTGTTTTGAAATTATGTTTAGATCATTTATGATGCAATGAAACATTGACTCAAACAAATGTCACTGACCTCTAGTAACTATGTGACAATGTTCACAGATTCTTCCATACTCACTTGGTCAGGTAAGAGTAGAGAACAATGGAGGATCAAACAGTTGCAGGCTATTTATTTTGAAGACTGTAATGAAATTCTTTCTACCCTCAGAAGGTAAATATCTGCACTTTACTGACTTACCCATAACTATGTTTATAAAAAACAGTCCTGTCAGCACACACGCACGCATGAGTCTTGTCCTGGATGCAGAACTGAGCGATTTCCCCTTAGATAGGCCAGCTGCAAAGGCAAAATTGGCTATATTGTTTTAAAAAATCATGAAAACAAACATTTGCTTTTTGGTCTTAATTAAAGGTTAGTGTTAGGCATAAGGGTTAGCAGTGTGGTTAAGATTAGGGTTAAGGTTAGGTTTAAAATCTGATTTGAGGACTTTGTGGCTGTGCCAGCTAGTGACCACTGCAGAGCTGCCTCCAGAACAAGACATCATGACAAAACGCTAACCTGCCACACACACAGACACACACAGTACCTGTCCATCAATGCATTGAATCACTTCGACAGCTCGAAAGCAGCCATAATACACCCAGTTGAAATCAGTATGGCGTTTTCATCTTTGGGTTCATACCAGCAGCTTTTGGTTTTCTGTCTGGCTTTATAATGTTAAATTTTTTGTATTAACAGATCAGCCTTGTATTGAACTATTACTTTCCATCATGCAACTATTGCTCATAGCTAGTCTGCCTTAATGTTTTTTATCTGCTCTATGATTTAATAAAGATGTATTCATTGAACTGAAGTTTGTTTGCCCTTTATTTGTGGAAATAATCATTGCTAGATTTTACATGTCTATATACAACAAAGTTATTTAGAACCTCAAAATACAAGGAGAGGATAGTTAAAGCATGAGTGTGGTTGTTAACATCACTTTCGAATAGACGGGCTGTAATGTCATGTGTTCATTCATTTTATATGATATTTGGCTCAGAAAACCTATTTCCTGTAGGTTGTGATTATGCCAGTAGATGACCATCCAGATGGGCCAATGGGAGCTGCTCAGGCCGGAAATGGTTTATTGACAGACCGACAAACACCGACAGGTGATGATCCACCACTCTGCTGCTTCACCAGCTCCCTCTAGTGGCCTAATGGAAACACTGCATATTCTGATGTCATATTTTACCATGCACTTACAAATTAGCTTTGAGTTTTAGTTTTAGTTTTTCATGACTTGCCTCGTTGAATTTGTCGATTTCGATAGCTTTTATTTTAGACACAGCACACAAAAGAAAACACATTTCTAGTATTTTGTTTTTGAAGAATGAAGGACAGATCACAGTTATGAGGGATGGAGGGGGGGGGAGCCCTTGAATAGCTTGCTGATATCAATGTCAGAGTCTTTCATATGAGGATGGATGTCCATATCGATGCCACTGTCCTTACACTGCTGGAGCAGAGTGCTGATGTTGCTCTCAGACAGACGCAGGTACCTGTACACGCACGCACTCACGCACACACGTAGAATGATGAACTGCAGCAGTCATTACAGCATGCGACTGTTGCATTGCAATTAATACCATTCATCTTAAAATCAATATTACAACTGCGTTATCAGTGATTGGATTTAATATATTAGTACAGCTTGAAGGCTGCAGTATACCGTTTTTTTTAAATCGCTTTGGGGAATTTTCAAAAATCTTAGTACAAAACTGGTAACACTTGTAACGCAGCCAGTTTTATATGTTTCAAAGCCTTTCATTGTGTAGTCATTTAGCTTGAAGACATCTTTCACCACACAACCATTGATGCAAAATATACGTTTACTGTGAAATATAATGAGTACATTGGTTTAATCCCCAAAACACAACATAATGATTTCTTCTAAATGTAGTTATTTTAACAACCAGTTAATCCAATAGCAAACGTAAGATACGTTTCAAAATTGCCCTTTGAATGTAGTATGGTACAGGACTGTAAATTACAGTACATTACACTGTTTTCACATTAGGCAATACACTTGCACTCCCATTATGCATTACCCTGGTCAGTCAATCGACTGCTCTTCTCTCTGCCAGCCTATGGCTGACTCGACGGTTAACCCCTCAACTTCTAGTGAATCTTTGTTTTCATTTCAACAATTTACTATCTGTGATGTGCTAGATAACTTGCTTAAGATTGATGTAAAAAATAATCCACTGGAGCTGATATGCTTCATACATTTTTGCTGCAGCTCTCTGCCCCTCTGATTGCTGAATAATTAACCCATATTTTAACCTGACAATTATATCTGGTACTGGTTTGGAAGGCGGCCCTTGTACTCCCCCTTCACAAAGGTGATGACCGTTATATTATAGACCTATTTCTAAACTTTCTTGCCTAGCTAAAATATTTAAATCTTTGATTAATTCTCAGCTAAGATCGTATCTTTGAAAATGTATTCTAAATGTACATCAGTCTGGTTTTAGACCAGGTCATAGCACTATCTCTGCTACATCACCAGTTATAAATGATGTGGTTAACTGTATGGATAGAAGGCAACATTACGCTGCCTTCTTCATTGACCTGTCAAAGACTTTCGATACTGTTGATCACTCACTACTAATTCAGAGGCTTTCCGCAATTGGCCTAGACCAGGTTGCATGTAACTGGTTTAAAAATTACTTTAATTCAATGTATGTCTACGGATGGTGTTAAATCAGGTTTCCTGGATATTACGAAAGGTGCCCCGCAGGGGTCGTACTTTTTACTGTTAACATTAACAATATCGAAGAAATGTAACCTGCACTTCTATGCTGATGATACTGTTGTGTATGTTATTGCCCCCACGGTTGACCAGGCTCTATCTGAACTAGAGTATGCCTTCATTGTATTACAGGAAAACTTTATTGACATGAAATTAGTACTGAATGCAGATAAAACTAAGAATATGTTTTCTCTAAAGCGCATAGAAATAAGTCTGGTGATTTAAGCACATGTACTTTGGATGGTGTCCATATTGATCGTGTCCGCGCTTACAAATATCTGGCCATCTGGATAGATTAAAAGCATATTGATGAGTTAAGAAGCTGATAATAAAAATGAGCGTATTCTATAGAAATAGGTCCAGCCTCTCGCTATATAGTAGAAAGCAGATTATTTAGTCGACGTTCCTATCTGTCCTAGACTATGGCGACATCATCTATATGAACGCAGCTGCCACTTCATTACAGCCGTTAGATTGAGTTTTTCATAGCGCACTGCGCTTTGTTACGGGCGACAATTTTAGTACTCATCACTGCCTTCTCTACCAGAAAGTTGGTTGGCCCTCTTTGATGTCAAGTAGGTTGATACATTACTATGTTTTCATTTATAAAGCCCATTTACAAAAAGTCCCACTGTACCTAACATCATTACTAAACTTTAGACATACGAGTTACCACACCTGGTCTCAGGGATGGCTAACTCTGCAAATTCCTTTGGTCTCTACTGAGTTAGGTAAATCAGCTTTTAGTTTTCTTGCACCTTATTTGTGGAACAATCTTTGAAATGTTCTTAAATATGATGTTTTGGTGCCTCTAGGGCAATTCAGAAAGCTGATTGAGGACCTTATTACTGATGAATGTGTTTGTTTTTTATGACCTTGTTTTTCTTTCTTTCTGCTTGCATTTTGTATTTATATTTTGATGTGTGTTTTTTTGTAATTTATGTAATTCAGGGCTCATCTGTAAAATAGACCTTGGTCTCAGTATGACTCCCTGATAAAATAAAGGTACAAATAAATAAATACATTGACTGAACTGAAATTTCCATAATTTCTATCCCGTGTGATCAAAGGTGTGATCATTGAAGATACAGTGCATTCGTAAAGTATTCAGACCCCTTCACTTTTTCCACATTTTGTTAAGTTACAGCCTTATTCTAAAATTGATTAAATAGTTTTTTCCCCCCCTCATCAATCTACACACAAAACCCCATAATGACAAAGCAAAAACAGGTTTGTAGAAATTTTTGCAAATATATAACAATTAAAAACTGAAATATTACATTTACATAAGTATTCAGACCCTTTCTTCAGTACTTTGTTGAAGCATCTTTGGCAGCGATTACAACCTCGAGTCTTCTTGGGTATGACACTACAAGCTTGGCACGCCTGTATTTGGGTAGTTTCTCCTATTCTTCTCTGCAGATCCTCTCAAGCTCTGTCAGGTTAGATGGGGAGTGTCGCTGCACAGCTATTTTCAGGTCTCTCCAGAGATATTAGATCGGGTTCAAGTACGGGCTCTGGCTGGGCCACTCAAGGACATTCAAAGACTTGTCCCAAAGCCACTCCTGCGTTGTCTTGGCTGTGTGTTTAGGGTCGTTGTCCTGTTGGAAGATGAACATTCGGCCCAATCTGAGGTCCTTAGCGCTCTGGAGCAGGTTTTCTTCAAGGATCTCTCTGTACTTTGCTCCATTCATCTTTCCCTCGATCCTGACTAGTCTCCCAGTCCCTGCCCCTGAAAAACATCCCCACAGCATGATGCTGCCACCACCATGCTTCACCGTAGGGATGGTGCCAGGTGTCCTCCAGACGTCACGCTTGGCATTCAGGCCAAAGAGTTCAATCTTTGTTTCATCAGACCACATAATCTTGTCTCTCATGTTCTGAGAGTCCTTTAGGTGCCTTTTGGCAAACTCCAAGCGGGCTGTCATGTGCCTTTTACTGAGGAGTGGCTTCCGTCTGGCCACTCTACCATAAAGGCCTGATTGGTGGAGTGCTGCAGAGAGGGTTGTCCTTCTGGAAGGTTCTCCCATCTCTACAGAGGAACTCTGGAGCTCTGTCAGAGTGACCATCAGGTTCTTGTTCACCTCCCTGACCAAGGTCCTTCTCCCCCGATTGTTCAGTTTGGCCGGGCGGCCGGCTCTAGGAAGAGTCTTGGTGGTAACAAAACCTCTTCCATTTAAGAATGATGGAGGCCACTGTGTTCTTGGGGACCTTCAATGCTGCAGAAATGTTTTGGTACCCTTCCCCAGATCTGTGCCTCGACACAATCCTGTCTCGGAGCTCTACGGACAATTCCTTCGACCTCATGGCTTGGTTTTTGCTCTGACATGCACTGTCAACTGTGGGACCTTATATAGACAGGTGTGTGCCTTTCCAAATAATGTCCAATCAATTGGATTTACCACAGGTGGACTCCAATCAAGTTGTAGAAACATCTCAAGGATGATCAATGGAAACAGGATCCACCTGAGCTCAATTTCAAGTCTCATAGCAAAGGGTCTGAACACTTATGTAAACAAGGTATTTCTTTTAATCTATTTCAGAATAAGGCTGTAACGTAACAAAATGTGGAAAAAGTCAACACGTCTGAATACTTTACGAATGCACTGTATCTTTCACAATGTAATCAAAAGAAATAAATGAAAGAAACAATGTTTAGCAGGCACTAGTTTGCATCAAGCCTGTCTTGAGCATTTGGCTATATGTTCTCATGGAAATTGCAGTAAATATCCCCATTGTTCATGCAGCTGGGGAAAAACCTTTTGGCATGGCGAATCCAAGCCTGACATAGGTCTGGGTTGAAATCATTGCATGCCTCATCCATGGCCTGAATGAGGGTGGTACGCTCATGGGAATGGCAATCATACATCTTCCACCTTTACTGTAATCGTGTATTGTATTTTACAGTATTGTATTGTACTTCATATTGTACTACAGTATTGTATTGTACCCCCCATCAGAAAGACCCCAGCAACTTAATTTTGGATACATATTTCATTTACTGTATACGGGATGCATTTCTTTCTTATTTTGGACTTTCTGGATTATTTGCATAGCATATTGGTATTGATATTGTATTACTGCACTGTATGAAGTAGAAACACAAGCATTTCGCTGCACCTGCTGTAACATCTGCTAATCTGTGTACGCGACCAATAAACGTTGATTTGATTTGTTACATATAGTACATCTCAGATCTTCACTTACTGAGAAGTAAAATCATAATAGTCATCATCATAGTAGTACATTCAAGTATATACTGAACAAAATTATAAACGCAACATGCAACAATTTCAAAGATTTTGCTGAGTTACAGTTCATGTAAGGAAATCAGTCAATTGAAATAAATTCATTAGGACCTAATCTATGGATTTCACATGACTGGGCAGGGGTGCAGCCATGGGTGGGGCCTGGTAGGGCATAGGCTGACCCACTGGGGAGCAAGAGCCAGCCAATCAGAATGAGTTTTTCCCCACAAAAGGGCTTACAGAAATACTACTTAATCAACTGAAAATGTGCTTAGAGTTTTGAAACAAGTGCCTTTATGATTATCTGTTTTGAGTTTTCTACTAAGAGTTGGGATTGACCACATATTGCACCAAAGTGATAAAAAAAACCCTGTAATATACTGTATGTATCTGTGCTCACCTGCAGCGCAGGGCCTCCAGGGGGCGTAGTGTGAGGTTGCGTCGGTCCTGTCTCTCCTGTTCAGTGGCCCTAGCCCGGGCGATCAGCTCCCTCACCCTCTTCTGCAGCAGAGGGAAGCCCAGCACAGCCTCCTGCAGCCCATGGAGCTCTGGGGACGGCTGGGGGGGCAGCAGGGCCAGCAGGCTGGGGGTGGGGAGCAGGAGCGTAGTGATGCCATCCAGGGGGGTCAGGCTCAGGGTACTAGGGTGCTGGCTGGGCCGCGGGGTCAGACCCCCATAACGCATACCCCCCCTTGAGGAGGAGGAGGTCTCTGACAGGGTGTCTCTAGGCCACAGATGGTGGGGGGACATGGTGTCCCCGTTGATGGTCAGAGGGAGGGTCAGACCTGGAGAGAGGTGCAGAGATGACCAGAGATTATTACACTAGTTATTTAACTCTATTACACCAGCTACTATTTCAGATTGTATGGCATTAATTACGGTAAGTAGGAAAAGTGTGTTGTTATTTCTGTGTTTTGTTCTACAGACACAGGTACTTCAGTGTACTGACTTCTGTGGCTGGGTCGTGGGGAGGGGGCTGCGGTGCTCTGGGGGATCCTGAACAGAGGGCTGTTGAGAGAGCAGTCCTCTCGGCTGGCATGGGACGGGGGGCAGGCGAGGAGCTGTACCCTGCTGCCCCCTCCACTAAGCTCAGCCCTGCTGTTATCACTAGGCCTCTGGAGGGGAGAGAGGCACATACTCAAAATCATCATACTCAGTCCAATGAACATTTAATTCTGCACTACTCACAGTATATTAGCACACACCATATTACCTGGAATAGAGTTTGGCTTCTGAAAGTAGGAGACACGCTAGTTAGCCTCCTCAGGTTCTGTTTGACCCTCCTCTCCTCCCGTAGCCAGCAGTTCTTGTGGAGACTTTCCATGCTGCTGAGGGCCTGGTTCAGCTTCTCAAACTGACAGAGACACATACCAGTGAGCATATCCCCCCTCTGAAAATACACTTTTACATAGGCCTATGCACCATTAAAATGTTTTTAGATTTGTATTTTATTACCCCATTTTTCTCTCCAATTGTGATCCAATTACGATCTTGTGTCATCGCTGCAACTCCCCAACGGACTCGGGAGAGGCAAGGGTCAAGTCATGCATCCTCCGAAACATGACCCGCGTAACCGCCCTTCTTAACACCTGCCCGCTTAACCCGGAAGCCAGCTGCACCAATGTGTCAGCGGAAGCACCGCTCAACCACTTGGGAGGCCCCCTATGCACCTTTTCAACCACCTTGTTGTTTTAAGTCTATGCTATCTGCCTAACCCATTCAGGGGTCTGTACCCAGCAAGCACATAACGTTCTGAGAACCATATAATTCTTAGAGCTTGGTGAGAGCGTACTTGCCCTAAGGATATTTTGCATACAACCTTCCAACTTTCTGGGAATGGTGCAGGATAGTTTCTTGACTTAGGAACATTCTCAGCACATTTAAGGAACTTGACAAAGAAACATAATTTTCTTGGTATTTCATTATTTTAACAGAACGTTTCCTAAAAGTTCAAACATGGTTACATTTCATTTACACTTTGGTAATGTTCTAGAAACGTTCTCCAACTGTTTTGACATTGGGAATGTTCTTAAATAGTTCAGAGAATATTAAGAAACAACGTTCTTCTGTGGGAATTTCAGTAGTTCAGCATAACGTTTCCTATAGGTTTCCTCATGGTTCTATTTAAAGTAATATTCTCAAATGGTTCCAAGAATGTTAAGAAACAGAAACTCAAGTTCCCATGTGGTTCTATTTGTCATTTTTACAATTTTCTGGTTAAGTTCTCAAAAATGGTAATTTAAGTGATATTCTCAGAACGTTCAGAGAACGGAGGTTGGTGGCACCTTAATTGGGGAGAACAGGCTCGTGGTAATGACTGGAGCGGAATCAGTGGAATGGTATCAAATACATCAAACACATGAGCTGTGTTCGAATACCCATATTAACATACTATATACTACATACTTAATGAGTATATACTACATACTATTAGTTCATTTTAGTATACTGTAAACAAACGGTATCCTTTCATTTGAGTGTACTAGCGCTTCGCCTGTCTACCAGAAGTTGATGCTGTTGCTATGCAACCTCTTGCTAGCTTGTTAACATAACAAATGACTAGCTAGACATTTTACGATTTTGGGTGTGTTCGTAAATTAAATCTGGAGAGCTCAGTAAATTCAGAGTGTTTCGCTCTCGGATGGCAGTCAAGCACCCAAGCTAACTGGCTAGCTTTCTAGCTATTTCCAGTCACAAATGAAAGAACACCTCACTCTGACCATTTTACTCGCCCTAGCAGAGCTGGTTAGGCTGTTTTCATGTTATCCAGAGCGTTGGTGACTGTAACTGTGCTGCTGGCAACAATTTAATTCCGCTTTTTTATGCCGACGTTTACTGACACCAGCCATATATTCAACGGGTGTTGAGCGTTAGGAAATTCATCAGTTATTCTGCGCTCTGGCACACTCAGACGAGAGTGCTCTGAAATTGGAGTAGATAGACAGAATGAACAATGTCCATTGAGAACGCACAATGACTATACCACTTAGCTAAGAATGACGTGAATAATCAAGTCAATAAACGTTGGGTAGTTAGTTCGATTATAGGTAATATACTGCCTGGCAAGTTTGATGTATTAGTAGCCAACTAACGTTAGGTAATAGTAGCCAGCTAACATACCGGTACATACTGTTGTAATGCTATGTGGTTCGTAAAGATAGCTTAGCTAACAAATTGTCAGCCAACATAACGTGTAACCTAACTTACATTACTTTATTACATTGTTCAACATTTTCTTAACATTTGTCATAACTAGTTAAAGCAATGAATTTGTATCCACTCTCGTCAGACTTCGGCTGCATATTTTCTGCCATTTTCTTCAAATCTGAAAACGTTGTGAAGCCACGCACATTTTCTGAAGAATTGCATTAAAAGCACGGAAATAGTGTCCACTGCTTGTATACTTCGTATTTTGGCTAATTTAGTACGACATCCGGGAACTTTTGGCATACTAACTAAATCCATACTATGACCATTAAGCATACTACAAACACAATTTACGTCACAAATAGTACAGTTAGTATGAGTATTCGATCACAGCTATGGTTTCCAGGTGTTTGATGCCATTCCATTTTCTCCGTTCCAGGCATTATTATTAGCCATTCTCCCCTAGGCAGCCTCCACTGAATTGTACACATTAACATCAATAAGCTCTAAATTCCATTCTCAGAATATGAGGAAAACTTTCTATAAAAAACACAATAAAACTTTAATGTTCAGAGAATGTTCTAAGAATGTTATTTAAAAACATATACATTCCGTTCTAAGCATCAACAAAACTTTCTCTATCCTCTGGCTTGTTAAGTGTGTTCAAATGTGTTTGCCGCACACACTAATTGTGCTTTGAAATGGGGTCTGTTTGAATAGACTAAAATGAACAGTTTTGTATGCGTAAAAAACATGGCAAGGTACAGTAGCTCCATCCTGGTGGCGCAGTGGACTTAATTCCATGGCTAGAGAACAGAACAGAAAATCATAGGTTTGAATCACACTGATGCCGTGTCACAATGAAAAATAAATGTGTTTGCATGATTAATGCCTAATGAATTTCATGTGTCCTATCAGTGAAAATTAAGGAAGTTATTAAAAAATCTCAAAATAACCTACAGTGGGGAAAAAAAGTATTTAGTCAGCCACCAATTGTGCAAGTTCTCCCACTTAAAAAGATGAGAGAGGCCTGTAATTTTCATCATAGGTACACGTCAACTATGACAGACAAAATGAGAAAAAAAATCCAGAAAATCACATTGTAGGATTTTTAATGAATTTATTTGCAAATTATGGTGAAAAATAAGTATTTGGTCAATAACAAAAGTTTCTCAATACTTTGTTATATACCCTTTGTTGGCAATGACACAGGTCAAACGTTTTCTGTAAGTCTTCACAAGGTTTTCACACACTGTTGCTGGTATTTTGGCCCATTCCTCCATGCAGATCTCCTCTAGAGCAGTGATGTTTTGGGGCTGTCGCTGGGCAACACGGACTTTCAACTCCCTCCAAAGATTTTCTATGGGGTTGAGATCTGGAGACTGGCTAGGCCACTCCAGGACCTTGAAATGCTTCTTACGAAGCCACTCCTTCGTTGCCCGGGCGGTGTGTTTGGGATCATTGTCATGCTGAAAGACCCAGCCACGTTTCATCTTCAATGCCCTTGCTGATGGAAGGAGGTTTTCACTCAAAATCTCACGATACATGGCCCCATTCATTCTTTCCTTTACACGGATCAGTCGTCCTGGTCCCTTTGCAGAAAAACAGCCCCAAAGCATGATGTTTCCACCCCCATGCTTCACAGTAGGTATGGTGTTCTTTGGATGCAACTCAGCATTCTTTGTCCTCCAAACACAACGAGTTGAGATTTTACCAAAAAGATATATTTTGGTTTCATCTGACCATATGACATTCTCCCAATCCTCTTCTGGATCATCCATATGCACTCTAGCAAACTTCAGACGGGCCTGGACATGTACTGGCTTAAGCAGGGGGACACGTCTGGCACTGCAGGATTTGAGTCCCTGGCGGCGTAGTGTGTTACTGATGGTAGACTTTGGTCCCAGCTATCTGCTGGTCATTCACTAGGTCCCCCCGTGTGGTTCTGGGATTTTTGCTCACCGTTCTTGTGATCATTTTGACCCCACGGGGTGAGATCTTGCGTGGAGCCCCAGATCTTCCATTTCCTAATAATTGCTCCCACAGTTGATTTCTTCAAACCAAGCTGCTTACCTATTGCAGATTCAGTCTTCCCAGCCTGGTGCAGGTCTACAATTGTGTTTCTGGTGTCCTTTGACAGCTCTTTGGTCTTGGCCATAGTGGAGTTTGGAGTGTGACTGTTTGAGGTTGTGGACAGGTGTCTTTTATACTGATAACAAGTTCAAACAGGTGCCATTAATACAGGTAACGAGTGGAGGACAGAGGAGCCTCTTAAAGAAGAAGTTACAGGTCTGTGAGAGCCAGAAATCTTGCTTGTTTGTAGGTGACCAAATACTTATTTTCCACCATAATTTGCAAATAAATTCATTAAAAATCCTACAATGTGATTTTCTGGATTTTTTTTCCTCAATTTGTCTGTCATAGTTGACGTGTACCTATGATGAAAATTACAGGCCTCTCTCATCTTTTTAAGTGGGAGAACTTGCACAATTGGTGGCTGACTAAATACTTTTTTCCCCCACTGTATGTGTGCCATTCAGAGCGTGAATGGGTAAGACAAAAGATTGATGTGCCTTTGAACGGGGTATGGTAGTAGGTGCCAGGCGCACCGGTTTGAGTGTGTCAAGAACTGCAACTCTGCTGGGTTTTTCACGCTCAACAGTCTCCTGTTTCAAGAATGGTCCACCACCCAAAGGACATCCAGCCAACTTGACACAACTGTGGGAAGCATTGGAGTCAACATGGGCCATCATTTTTGTTGAACACTTTCGACACCTTGTTGAGTCCATGCCCCAACTAATTGAGGCTGTTCTGAGGTCGAAAGGGGGGGTGCAACTCAATATTAGGAAGGTGTTCCTAATGTTTGGTATACTCAGTGTATACACTACTCTGTATATTGCCTAAGAGGTACTATACGGTCCTGAACTAATATACTTATTACTACTACATCACCACAGGTACTAAACCCTACTGTACTGATATATACTGCTTATAAAACACATGTTCCCACAACTTCCAAGGAACCAAATGTGCTATCTAGGTATTCATCGGTTGCACCTCTGTCACTCGGTTGCCTCATACCATTGTCATGAGCGTTCTCAATCCGACCTCTATCGGCAGCATCATAGTGGTGCCCTAAAGTGGTGATAGCCTCCATCCAGGATGACTGGGTTTAACTACTGTTTCGTCTCAATTACACTAGAGTGCCTGGAAAGATGATGACATTGCTTAAGTAGTCATATTTAGTAAGAAATAACTTTGCCAGCATTATCATGTCGTCACATTTACTTTAGACAGATGGCAATGTTGTCATTTGCTAGCAAATGTAATCACTAATAGCTAGCAATGCTAACGTTAGCTAGCTAAAATCCGGTGGCCTCCCCTCAATCTTAGCTAGCTAACGTTATACTGCATCTAAAGTCAATCTGGTGACATCAAAATGACAAAAGGTTTTCCTGCTAATTATTTGCCTCATTTTGAATGTCATTGTATTTCCAAGCCACTGTAATGCACTTTTGATGAAATCTTAATCAGCGCTCACTGACGATGCATTAAGTAGAATGCTCAATCGGGCATCAGTTCAAGACGAACGTTCAAAACAATATTGTGACAAAACATGCAACACATGAACCACCAACCCTGAAAGCCTCTTTGTGGTTGGCCACTCTGAGTAGTTTGACATTTTTGCCATCGATCCAGTCCAAGGTGACAGGGGGTGTTCTCCCTCTGGGATGGACATCACTGTGGTTTGACCTGGGCATCCTAAAGGCTGTGGGAAGCTCATCTGACCGGGATCTAGTACCAAGCAGGTTTGTATCTCTCACCACAGAATGTTGAGAAACACAAGGTTCCTTCAGCTTTGTGATGTCACTGATGATTTAAAATTTGAATTCTATGGGATCTATTAGAATTCTATGGATGTTCCATTCCCCTTGTTCTTGACAGGTTCAAGACAGGTTTACATATAATAAGGAATTCCACTCCACCACGCCAACAAATTGGGGAAAACAATCAAACATTCTCCACTCACTACTTGTACATTAGCTGTACAGTCCATTTGTTTGTGTTATTGGTCTTGGCTAGCTTAATGTTGTGGTCGGTAGCTAGCTATTACTCACCCACTCATGCGGCTGCTAGCACCTTCATGAAAAGGGGCATGAGGGAAGCCCTACAATATTATACTGAACATAAATAAAAAAGCAACATGCAACAATTTCAAAGACTTTACTGAGTTACAGTTCATATAAGAAAATCAGTCAATTGAAATAAATTCATTAGGCCCTAATCTATCGATTTCACATGACTGAGAATAGAGAAATGCATCTGTTGGTCACAGATACCTTTTTTAAAAAGGTAGGGGCGTGTATCAGAAAACCAGTTTGTATCTGGTGTGACCACCATTTGCCTCATGCAGCGCAACACATCTCCTTCGCATAAAGTTGATCAGGCTGTTGATTGTGGCCTGTGGAATGTTGTCCCACTCCTCTTCAATGGCTGTGCAAAGTTGCTGGATGTTGTCGGGAACTGGAACAAGCTGTCATACACCTCGATCCAGAGCATCCCAAACATGCTCAATGGGTGACATGCAGGCCATGGAAGAACTGGGACCTTTTCAGCTTCCAGGAATTGTGTACAAATCCTTGCGACATGGGGGTGTGCATTATCATGCTGAAACATGATGTGATGGCAGTGGATGAATGACACGACAATGGGCATCAGAATATCGTCACGGTATCGCTGGTGGACATTCCTGCAGTCAGCATGCCAATTGCACGCTCCCTCAAAACTTGAGACATCTGTGGCATTGTGTAGTATGACAAAACTGCACATTTTAGAGTGGCCTTTTATTGCTCATGTGTAATGATCATGCTGTTTAATGAGCTTCTTGATATGCCACACCTGTCAGGTGGATGGATTATCTTGGCAAAGTAGAAAGGCCCACTAACAGGGATGTAAACAAATATGTGCACAAAATTTGAGAAATTAGTTTTTTGTGCGTATGGAACATTTCTGGGATATTTTATTTCAGCTCATGAAACATGGGACAAACACTTTACATGCTGCATTTATATTTTTGTTCAGTGTAGTTTTGTAATTGACTAAAACAAGCAGACAACAATAACATTGTGTTTGAAAAGGGTTACGTTTTTGCTGTGAGCCAATGGGGTAACCACGGGTTGTTTTCTATCTAATACCGACTGGGACTATGATGATCCTAAAGGCTGTGGGAAGCTCGTCTGACCGGGATCTAGTACCAAGCAGGTTTGTTTCTCTCACCACAGCATATTGAGAAACACAAGGTTCCTTCAGCTTTGTGATGTCACTGATGATTTAAAATTAGAATGCTATAGATTCTATAAAAATGATATGGATGTTTCATTCCCCTTGTTCTTGACAGGTATCTATGATGAGCTAAAAGAGACTTGCCATCCTCCCTCCTACAAATAAAGAAGAGTGTGGTCACTCTCTAATGAATCTAATTGTTGAGACTTCCCAGCTAGCACATTTGGTTCCTTGGAAGTTCTGGGAACGTACGTTTTTGTTTTTCCATTGGTTCTGGGAATGAAGCCATAAGTTTCCTGACTGGTAAAACAAACGTTTTTTTAAGTTTCTGAGAACAGAAGTGAACATTTGACCTGTTCTGAGAACGTTACTTTTTAAGTTGCAGTGAGGTTTTTCATGTGGTACCCTGAAAGTTTTAATAACATTGCTGGCTTAGTTTGGGTTAACTGTTTTGAACTCCAAACACAGATAAGACACTTGGAAATTAATTTGCTTAGGCGTTAATCATGCAAACACATTTCTTTTTTAATGTTCTCGAGACATGGAATTAGTCTTCTGCGCCACCAGGATGGAGCTAGCAGACCATGTTTTTTAAAACTCATACAAAGCTGTTCATTTTAGTCTATTCAAACAACAATTAGTGGGCGCGGCCAAAACAGATTAACACACTTAACAAGATAGTGGATAGAGAAAGTTTTTGATGATGCTGAGAACAGAATGTATATGTTCTAAAATAATGTTCTTAGGACGTTCTCTGAACATTACTAAAGTTTTCTTGTGGTTTTTATGGAAAGTTTTCTTAATGTTCTGAGAACATGACTTTAAATAGAACCATGAGGAAACCTGCAGAAAATGTTATGCTAAAGTACTGAAATTCCCACAGAAGAACATTGTTTCTTAACGTTATTGGAATATTCTGAGAACATTACTTTAAATAGAACCATGAGGAAAAACTGTAGAACAAGTTACACTTTAGTACTAAAATTCCCACAGAACACGTTATGCTGTTGTACTGAAATTCCCACAGTAGAACGTTGTTTCTGAGAACATGGCTTTAAATTGAACCATGAGGAAACCTGTAGAAAACGTAATGCTGAAGTACTGAAATTTCCACCTAAGAAACATAGTTCTCAGAACGTTATGTGCTAGCTGGGTATCCTGCACCATTCCCAGAATGTTGTGGGAAAGTTGTATGCAAAATAACCATAGGACAACCACGCTCTCACCAAGCTCTAAGAAACATATGGGTCTCAAAACGTTATGTGCTAGCTGGGCGTGATCCTATGATAACCTGAGTAAAGATAAAGGTGAGGTCACACTTCTCAGATGCACACTGTCTATCTCACTTTATCTACATTGATATATATCTGCTCCACAGCTGTAGGTGATTAAGGAAACGGAGAAAGCCAATTATGAAGCCTGAGAAAGTGTATACAGGTAGACACCAGCAGTAAGACTGAGCATTTCAGAGAGACAGTACAGTACTGTTGGAGTCTGGGGTAGTTGGTGTGTGTGTGTTTCTTGGGCCAGGCCTGGTCCATGGTTCTGTTTGGCAGAGTGATGTTGGTGTGGTCCAGGAGGTCAGTGGTAGACAGATGCCAGGGAGCAGGGGGTATCAGGAGACACAGAGATGGATCGCTGACACAGGGCATTGGGGACCAGATCACTGTCAACCTGTCACGGTCCGTTACACAACTGGAAGGACACTACGGGAATGCAAATTACACACCAGAGGTGGCCTGCAGTGTGTGTGTGTGTGTGTGTGTGTGTGAGGGGGGGACTCCCCTCCAGTCCATTAGATGGCAGTGTTGCACCTTAACTGTGGCCCAGACTAGACAGTATTTGAGTGAGAGCAGTTTGTTTTGAGAGTGGGACGTTATTTGCTCTGTGCATTGGCAGTGGTGTCTGTGCTGCTGACGGGGCTGAATATGAATCCACAGTACACAGAGAGAGAGAAAGCTGCTGATGACGGGGCTGAATATGAATCAGAGAGGTAGAGAGAGAGAGCGCTCTGGATCCCTCTGTGTTTATCTGTCTGTTTGTGGGCCTCTGCTTCTCCTCTTATCTGTCAGTCACTGTGGAACACATATTTGGTTTACCACAGCACTATATGATATGTGTGTGGGTGTGTATGTCTCTTCTGTATGTCTGACATGGAGAGGGGACCTACAGAACCGAAGGGGTTGTATGTGTGTGTTCTGGCAGTGTGAGGTAGTGGAGTGAGTAAGGGAGAGAGTGTGTGGGATTGATTAACTCAGTGTTCCCGCTACAGCTGAGCTCAAGGCCTGATTATGTGTCTAATCAAGGCGTGATTAAGTTTCCTATTCAGAGGTCCAATCAGGCTAAGTCGCTGGGCAACCATACCGCCGTGCTGCTGACAGCCAGACCTCTGGGGCTTCGAAGTGATTTGGTTTTAGTTTGCCGGTCAGGAGTCAGGACACAGAGTATGTTGGCTCACCGCAGCCTTGTCTTAACCAAATCAAATCAAAATCAAATCAAATCAAATTTTATTGGTCACATACACATATTCAGCAGATGTTATTGCAGGTGTAGCGAAATGCTTGTGTTCCTAGATCCAACAGTGCAGTAGTATCTAACAATATTCACAACAATACACAAATCTAAAAGTAAAAGAATGGAATTAAGAAATATATAGATATTAGGACGAGCAATGTCGGAGTGGCATTGACTAAAATACAGTAGAATAGAATACAGTATACATATGAGATGAGTAAAGCAGTATGTAAACATTATTAAAGTGACTAGTGTTCCATTATTAAAGTGGCCAGTGATTCCATGTCTATGTATATAGGGCAGCAGCCTCTAAGGTGCAGGGTTGAGTAGCCGGGTGGTACCCGGCTAGTGATGGCTATTTAACAGTCTGATGGCCTTGAGATTGTCACGCCCTGACCTATAGAACTCTTGTTTGTTGAGTCATGGTGTGGAAATCTATGTTATATATTCTATGTTTATGTTCTAGTTATTCTATTTCTATGTCAGGCTGGGTATGATTCCCAATCAGAGGCAGCTGTCGCTCATTGTCTCTGATTGGGGATCATACTTAGGTAGCCCAGTGCCTACTGTGTATTGTGGGATCTTGTTCCGTTTAGGCGTGTATGTGTATAGCCTGAGGACTTCACGTTACGTTGTTTTTTGTTTTGTTGTATGTTTATTGAGTAATAAACATGTACGCTTTTCACGCTGCACCTTGGTCCGACCCGTCTCTCAACGTTCGTGACAGAAGATCCCACCACAAAAGGACCAAGCAGCGTGCCGAGGAGGAGCGAATAGCTACGTCACAGGTGGGCAAATGGTGGTCATGGGAGGAGATATTCGCTGGAAAAGGACCCTGGGCGAAGGTACAGGCCCGGGTAGGAGAGGATCAACGACGACGCCAACGGGACCAACCGCTGAGGAAGCCCAATACATTTTTGGGAGGAGAGGAGCCCCGACCACTGCACCCGGTGGGGACCATGGGAACAGGAATGGGAACAGTTTTAC